GCTGAGAGCATGCACCGATGGCAATGCATTGTCTGGGATTGGACTGTTAGTGCGCATTCCTGCAAATGCATGTGTATATTTGTGTGAATAACAGTGTTGGTGCAGTATGCACTCCAGCCGGTAACACATGGCTTTGCTGCCACCACTCTGGCTCGTGTTGTGAGTGCCCCTGCAGGCTGGCAGAGAGGGGAGACCCTCTCTGTGGCTCACCCAGGCGGAGAGGGGCTTCCTGCACATCTTTTGTCACACCATTTGGTCTCTTGTGTCTGTGGCTGCCCTGCTCCTCCGGACCCACTTGGCAGCCACTGTGCAGACGGACATCTGCTCTTTCCAACCTCCCGGTGAATAGAGAAAACAACCAACAGACCCTGCTGTCTTACTCTATGCTCTATGCTCTCTGCACCTTTGCTAAGCAATCCATTTACACAGTGCGCTCTATCTATCTTTTAAAATATATACATATATTGTATATATTTTTATTTTTGTTTTCCTGATTAATTAATCTATTTTTAATAATAATAATAATAATAACCACAGTAATAAGACTATACGCTGTCTTAGCCACACTGCTCTCCTAATTGCTGGTGAACCACAAGTGATTATGCTTTTCTCAAAAAAAAATCCTTAATACCACTGCGGTCAGATTATTGAGCTGCTTTGTAAACCTTCACATTAAAGTACACTTCTGCATCTATGGCCTGACTCCCTTTTCCCGGTTCTCTAAGCAGAGCGATTCTGGAGCACGCAATATTGAACACACTTTGTTCATGCTCAGCGGCCCAGAATAACTCGGTCATTATGGTGGCGAAAGGGACAGGTTTTGAGTTTGATTTCATGATGGTAATATAGCCCATGTGTGTCGAAGAAGAAAGCCTTCAATGGGGACATCTGTTCAATGCGGCTTACTGTTACAGCCGTGCGATAGGAACAACCTGTGCGCACCATATGAACCGGGACCGACCCTCTCACTCTTACTGAACGCAACAGGCAACAAAAGATTTTTTCCCTTCTTTTTTTGGAGAAGAAGTGACCTAAGAATACATTAGATCGTTTGGGTTTAATATCTCTCCAGCCTCTGTGGCCTCAGGAACTAGATGCTTTAGTCGGGGAGTTATCACACTGACCTCTGACATCTGTCTTGCTGGTATGATCACTGGGTAATTTGTCACCAGAGGCCAACACGTCCCCTGTCCATAATTTGCAGTGCAAATGCGCAAAAATTGCCCAGTAGGGGAGACCGGGGATAGTTGTAACATTTTTGACATTTCTGTCTGTAAATTGAAGCTCTTTTAAGGTAGTGGATTCAAAATGTAATGCAAAGTATTTTCATGTCTCTGCTATTAAATAGTGCAGCTATTTTCTCTGCAGCACAATTACCCATTGCATGGTATGGTCTCAAACACGAAGAGTGAAATGTTACAATTAACCCCATAGTCTGGGTTAGTTGTAACATATCCTGGGGTAAAATGTAACACAAAGAAATAAGGGTACTAACAAAACATTAACATGTAATCTTTGTTTATTCAACACATGAATGCACTTAGAGCCATTAATGTAGCTGTGTGTGTGTGTGTGACAGAATGCAGAAATCTAGCTTTTGAACATATTCCAACCCCCCAAAAAAGACAAATTATGGAAATTTCTGCAACTGAATATTTCGTTCATTTTGGTTGGTCTTCCTTGAGTTTGGCCTCATTGGCTCAGTGGGCATTATAACCTACAACTCTTGCACCAATTTTGAACATAACAATGAAGCTGAAAAAATGTAGTTGTTCACCAGCATCGCAATTCCATTACTTTTTATCATGGCTTACCTTGGTGTGGTTTGCAAAGTGCTTCAGAAAGATGAGGGAATCTGTTTCTTGCACCCATCCTGATTTATTTCCACTACCAGTACTTCCTACTGGTCCATCGCTGACACAGAGGTCTGCATAATGTATGTGTGGGAACACAAACAGTGGAGGAATTGTGTTGCCAATGGCATTAACCGCATATACAAAAGTGACCAGTGGACCTCTCTCTGCTGATGTCGTTGCCCCAACTTGTTTAATATAAGTTAATTATTAATATTGTTACAACTAACCCAGACTGTTGCTGTTACAACTGACCCAGACTCCTATAGCCATGAACTAGCTAACATTACAGCCAACGGCTAAAACATTAGCACTAAAGACCTACACAGAATATATCCCCATAGACATACAAATAACATAATTTAAGTTTGATGAGTTTAACTGCAAAGCAGATAATGCTATTAGAAATTGAAATAAAGTAGAAAAACTTACTTTTTGGCATACAAATTACTTTTTTTCGTGTTAAATTGTCTGTGTTTGACAAAATGTGCTGATTTTTCACATGTGATAGCAGAACTGACTTGGGCATGTACAGGATGAGTCACATCATTTGAAACTTAGCCCTGATTAGAGAAATTGGAAGTGTTACAACTGACCCACGTTACAACTATCCCCGGTCTCCCCTATAATACATGAGCATTATTTTGAGAATAAGAAAGGAGGAAACCGATCATCTCACTCACGAGGTTCAACTGTTTTACGAATATAAACGTGAATTACACGTACATATAATATGCGTTCGGGTACATGAGAGGTAAACGCGTAGGGGCAGTGGTTGTTTTTTTTCCCTCTCAAAGTTATTCCTAATTGAATTGCCAGTGAAACATTTATTTGGCAAGGTCCACAATCTCACCGGCAGCGGTGGATGTTGTGTTTTCTCTGCTGAGAGCGAAACGTGGAGGGTCAATCAATGCACTGCAGAGCGGAGAAGCACGGTATGTAGGTTTTATTTCTCCTCGTCACATTTTATTCGCCTCGACCACGATCACACAATATTCGGATGATTTTTTTTCTCTAAAGCTGGTGTGATTGGTTAGGTTGAGGGAGATAAAAAAAAATAATAGTAATAATAATGAATGACCAAACCCCCCTGATACGGCTAATGTGTTACCTCCAACGTCCAATTAGTTAAGATGTCTGCATTTGATATTTTTTAATCGCTACTTTCATATAAATTAACGATTATAATAAATATTTTTACGTGTTATTTATCGCCACACATGTCGCCAGGAATATTAATTAACGATTTTCGCCTTCAATGTGAGAAAAAGCATTAACACAACTTAAACCTGGGATAGATGTTACGCGTAATAAGTTACAGAAATATGGCCGAATTACCTCTAAATGTTGGCAAAGCTTGGCAACTAAATAACACTCTGTGGGATTATTAAGTAAGACGCAACATATGTACATTTTGCTGATGGGTTATACGAGGTGAAGCAACATTATGAATAATTGTAACAATTTTAAATCCTTCTTTAAAAAAAGAAGAAGAAAAAACACCTAAAAGTAAATCCAAAAAAAAGAAAAGGCTGTTGTCCAATCCTAGAAACACAAGAATTAATCAGGGAGTCCATCTATCACACTGTGTAATAAAGGAAGCGACATGGGTTAGGCAGATGATTTGATGAATAATCCCTGGTCGTTTTAATTAACTTTTCCCTGTCCTGTAATGACCAAGCTGGTCAACAGACCCGGTCAATAAGCATGTTAATATCAAACAAATAAAACTGAGGATGATTAAAAACCTCCTGCGTTATTAAATTTGAAATTCAAATGAAATTTATGCTTCCCGTGCACACTGCATGCTAATAGCTCCAACAGAGAGTCCAGGGTTCAACACACATTTTCCCTACAGGTTCTTATTATGTAACATGAGCTTCCTGTATAGATTTTTACAAAATGTCAGCGGGTAAAGTAATGAACCTATTCAGTGCAACCTGCGTTATTTTACGCACGGAGCGCCATCGCTTACTTTAATAAATAATTTAAATTAACTACAATACAGAAATTCTCAGTATCTCCTAAAATAAATCTACAATTCTGTTTTAGTTGTTAACAGAAAGGCAGCAGACTTTCTGAAGTCAGGATCCCCACAGGTCTTTATTTTAAACTAACACAGCCATGATAAAATGAACCATCCCTCCCGTGAACGATGTGCAGTTTTAATCAAAACTGTCAAGATAATTGAACACAATTACAGTAAATGCGAAAGTTGGAGACGATCTAATAGAGGTCCGAGGCCAGAACAATGCACCCTTTATATCTTCTGTAATAGTTTGTGTATATTAACTCTTAAGAAGTTAAAACATGTTGAATCCCGCGGGGGCTAAATTGCACTAGAGTGCACGGTAATTGTCTGATATGAGAAAGATAGAGAAAACTGTGGAGAGGTCCTTGTAAAACAAGCACTTAAAGCTGCAGTGAAATCTGTAAAACACAGACCGAGGACAGAATGAAGTCGGTCAACTTTTACGCACAAGTACATTTGCGGGAAAAGAAAAAGCAGAAAACTTTTTTTTAAGCTTGCGCTTCAGAACGCGAAAGGCTTCTGGAAAATGGAAAAGAAAGAGGAGTTTGAACGCACTTGGTCTACTACATCGCGGTGTTTGTTGCCTCTTGGTGGAGGCGGCGGAGGCGATGGCGAATAATTTGCCAAGCTTTTTATTTACTACGCAGCATCCCACATCGCCAGACACGGGTCATCATTCCTCCTTCTTTAAATTTATGGAATGTGATGTTCTGTAAAAATTTCAGTAAGTGGCCCCCTAATACCTCCTTCCCAATTCACTCTCATTTAACTTTACCTTCCTTCCGCTGTCTTTTATTATGGAGGGGGCGGTGGGGTGGATGAGGGAGGGGAGGTGGGAGGGTGGCGGTGGGGGAGTGGAGAGCTGTCTGAGGCGCTCTATTGATGACCTCACGGTAGTATGTGGCAGTGCGACGGGACGAAGCCGCTGATTGGTCGCCCGTGTCACAGCGGCACTTCAAAGCCGGAGAGGAGCCTACAATTGTGGAAGAATGGGCGGAACACATCATTGTATTGCACACCTCTAAAAAAACAGTGCTCTGATTCATAAATATAAAAAGATCCTCTGAGGAGGGCTGTGTTTTTGTGTGATGGCAACTTCACTTCTAGGGGTGAGTCTAAAGGACTTTCTTACTGGTTTAATTAGTTCTTGTCATTGTCCTGCGGAGGGGGATTAAACTTACATCGGTCGCAAAGTAGCAGCAAAGCCAGTGCGTTGGTTATATTTCCAGCAAGCGGTTTGTATGATAAAGACGAGGCTCTGTAAACTGCATATAGGCTGAGTTTGGCTGTCATCGGCGCTCAAAACACGCATGTTTTCCCTGCTGTCCCGTTTGGCATGCATTTGTAAGCGCCGTCTGACGCATTTCACTTGTCTACTTTCTGTTCATCCAGGTAGGAAATCAAGATAATCTTCTCTGTTGATTACCAAAACTTAAACAAAAATACAGCTTATTAGTCGTCTGCTGAAAAACAGGGAAACTGTTTCTACTTGAACGCTATTTCCCGATCCGAAAAGAATGCATTAAAATGCCTGTAATTAATCTGTGGAACTTGTAAGTCGCTTACATATTTTCTTGTCCTTTCAGGAGGAGCCGAGGTTAGGATCGACTCCTTTAGCCATGTTAGCTGCAACATGTAACAAAATAGGGAGTCCGAGCCCTTCACCGTCGACAATTTCGGATAACTCCTCGTCATTTGGAAAAGGTTTCCACCCGTGGAAAAGAGCCGCTGCGAGTAGCTGCAGTCTCGGATCCGGCCTGCCCGGTTTCGGGGTATCGCGTAATGGATCTGGCATCTCGGACTCTTTTGGCACCAACAGCTCCACCGGATCCAGTGCCTTTTCCCTCACGTCCGGTACCTCGTCTAGTTCACACTTTGGAAACGATTATTCGGTTTTCCAAGCGTCCGTGTCGAGCAGCTCTCAAGAGTCCAGCCACCAGCCGGTCTTCATCTCAAAAGTGCACACCTCAGTGGACAGTTTGCAGGGCATCTATCCGAGGATGAGCGTTGCGCATCCTTACGAGTCCTGGTTCAAATCGTCTCATCCCGGGATCCCCACGGGAGACGTTGGTACCACCGGAGCCTCTGCATGGTGGGATGTGGGAGCGGGATGGATTGACGTTCAGAACCCTAACGGAGCAGCAATACAGACGTCCTTACATTCCGGTGGACTCCAGACCTCCTTGCACTCTCCCCTGGGCGGATATAACTCTGATTACTCGAGTTTAAGTCACTCTGCTTTCAGTACAAGTCCATCTCCACACCTGTTGACAACCGGCCAACACCTGATGGACGGTTTCAAGCCGGTGTTATCCTCTTATCCCGACACAAGCCCCTCTCCTTTAACCGGGGCAGGAGGGACTATGCTCTCCGGGGGTCCACCTGCGTCTTTAGCGGGGTCTCCGAGGTCATCTGCCCGGCGGTACTCGGGAAGAGCCACCTGCGACTGTCCAAACTGCCAGGAGGCGGAGAGACTGGGACCGGCGGGCGCCAGCCTCCGGAGGAAAGGTCTCCACAGCTGTCACATTCCAGGCTGTGGGAAGGTTTACGGGAAAACCTCGCACCTAAAGGCGCATTTGAGGTGGCACACAGGCGAGAGGCCGTTTGTGTGCAACTGGCTCTTTTGCGGAAAAAGGTTCACTCGCTCCGACGAGCTCCAGCGACATTTACGCACACACACAGGGGAGAAGCGATTCGCTTGTCCGGTGTGCAACAAGAGATTTATGCGTAGCGATCACCTGAGTAAACACGTAAAAACTCACAGCGCCGGGGGATCTGCCGGCTCTGGCTCCGGGGGCAGCGGAGGGAAGAGGGGGAGTGATACCGACAGCGAGCACAGTGCACCGGGAAGCCCTCCATGCCATTCCCCAGACCTGTTGCACCCACCTGAGTCTGCCCAGGGAGTAGGCATGAACGGGCTCTAAAAAAAAACTCCCCCAGTGAAGTGAAAACTGTAAAACAGCAAAGTGTCGTGATGGAATTGTCCGAGAGGACATGAAAGTGGACATACTTTGGTGCATCATCATTGTCATTTAATGAGAAAATCGGCCTCTATGTTTCTTTGACTCTTTCCAAGTGCTTAAGACGTCCAATTGAATAATTTCATAGCCGTGCCATCAGAAACTTCTCATCTGCGGAGTGAAAGTGTAGTCAAGTCCTTGTGTGACACACTGTGGGAGGGCACGATCAAAACTTTTTATGTTTCTTACTGTTTTTCTTTTGCAGCCCGATCCTGAATACGCCTGATGTTTTATTTGTCCGGTATAAGACGCGAAAGACAGAAAACACTGCTGTCAAAATTGTAGGGCCTGAAAAAGTTGAGCAACTGCTATCATGCATATTGTTGAAAACCAAACACTGGCACTTTATTATCGAGCAGGGGAATCTGTTGCTGTCAATGTGGATGGACTGCTCGATAGGAACAAATACCTGTAGAGTATGGCGGTGAGACACGGGAGTGATGATCCCATTAAATAAAGTGATAAAGGAAGAGCAGGTTTATATATCTATATATATATATATATATATATATATATATATATATATATATCACTGCTATTCTCTTCGCAGCCTACACTATGCGCCAACTTTATCACTAGGCCTGTTGAGGTTACTTAGACTTCGCTGCAAAATGTGTTGTATATAATTACAAATGTAGGTTAGAATAATTACAGCCCAGTGTAAAGGTGAGCAATGTATTTGTCCAGGAGACGATTTTGTATAGGTATTTCTAGCTGTATATGGACTCTAGTAAATATTTGAAAATATACGGAAATGTACTTGGATTTTCTTTGATATGATATAAAATGTATTGTGGGGAGTTATATTTAACCACGACTTTTTCTTGTATTTAGGGATCTATCATTAGGCGCACTTCGAATTTATTTGTAAAGTTTTGAAATCATTTACTGTTTACCCACTCGTTTAATTTAAGTAAGCATGTTGTAAAGTGATTTTAATTTTACAATGATATTTTTTTCTTTCTCTCTCTCTCTCTCTCTCCTTCTCTCTCTTACTCCGAGAATGGCTTTTTATGTGAGCCACTCAATAAAGTCAGTATGAAATCAGAAGCACCTGATCGACTCAGTTTGTCGGATTGCTGAGTCATTAAAAAAAATGTAAACGCCTAAAAGAAACTCATAAATTACACTTTGCCTTCATGTTACATTACAAGTCCGTGTGTTTGCTATTAATGTGAAAAACTGTTGAGTTTCGTGATCTCCGTAACGGCCTCCAGCAACACCAGGCCCTTGCTCGCAGCTTAATTTAAATTTCAATAATAAAATGTAACAATTATTTAGAAACGGGGAGAAAATTCAGTGTTATTTAAAAAGAAATCTATTTAGCTTGAAATAAGTCATTATCGTTTAAAAAAATCTGTTAAGCAGAAAAATTCAGCCTCTTAACTTTTCTGAGGACGCGGCTTTACCATTAAACCACGGTTTATGATGAGTTAATTTGCGTATAGTAAATACTCGCAGCAACACACTGTAATTAGCATTTTTATTTTGTATTTATCACTAGGCTACTATTCTTCTTTGTTTCATTCTTTATTTCCATCCAAATCTCCAGTATATTTTCATCCTCAGGTTTTTCCTTCTCACTGGTCATTCTTAAAACACTCGTTTTTCTTCCGTTTTTGGAAATGTTACTAATAAATGCACAGCAGGTTGAGTGCCTACGTTATTTATTTTTGTGTGTAAACATTTAGATCGTCTAATGAGGACAGCGCGCGTTCTTCTGCGGAAAGTTTTGTTTCCCTTCAGGCTGGACTTAATTTGACCTCATTTCAAGTCAGAAAATTACTTAAAATCAAGATTCGAAGCAAAAGCACAAGAAATCTGTGGACTTTTCCATTCAGATGTGCTCATTTACTTTACTTGCCTAACACAGAGACTTTTATTTCATTTAGTTGAACATCGTATTTCATGTCATTACAGCTGAAAATAGAGACCGTCTGTCTTTCTTTTTCTTTTTTCTCTTTCTGGTTTCTGGGTTTAAGGCGTCAAATTTTAAGAGCCGATTGTAACATACAGAGTGCGCACTGACGTAACATTTCCCATCTTCTAAACTGTTTTACAAAAAATAAAAAGTGATGCGTAGGGAAACTAATATAATAAAAACTGAATTATTCTGAGTTTTTTTTTCCTTCGGATCTCTGAGAAACAGCTTAATCTCTAAACTTCAGAAAGGAGGCTTTGAATTTAAAGCTCTGTAGCGCCATCCAGCGCTATTCTGCTCAACCGACAGTATTTAAAGACCAGCCCTGGATCATCCTGATCAGATTTAAAGCTCGGATTTCTTTTCACTTCGTAGAAAGCATATTGCGATGCCTTAAGCAATTCTGATATATAATCATATCTGATATTAAAGCATGGTTACATTTATAATTGTTGATGCCAGACCTGATTAAAAGTTTAGCCTCTGATTTCAGCTAATCGTCTAATAATGGATTATGCGCTTTTGTAAGTTTACCCACCTCGTCCTCGTGAAGTGTTACTGAATCTTCAGACAAAGTTTTGACTCGGACAGTTGTAAGACTCCTAAACATACTTTGTACTTGTAAACAAGGTTAAAGTGATCATTAAAAAAAGAAAGTCCTTACACTCACAGCTGCTCCGTTTAGCAGTACACGAGGAAAGCTCATCAGAGTGACTGGATATTTTCTGGGTACATCAAGCTCACAGTCTCCAGGTGTTTTGCTGACATGATCTGAAAAAGACTCACAATAGCAAACAGACTCAGTTTCATCTGCTTTTCAATATTATTTTTAAATACTTCCACACTCATTTGCACATTTTCATACAAATAAAGTTGCTCTACTGTGGTCCAAGGATGAAAGAAAAGTGAAACAGAGGAGTGCACAAATGATATATCCTGCTTTTACTGAGTTCATGAATCCCCAAAGTGCTTTGGCATGTGGGATTTGAATATAGAGATATTACAGCACTTACACAGCTTTAACCAAAGATTTTGTAGCTGATTTATATGTAGCTGGTCTGCTTAATAAATGTTTAGGCAGTCAAATTTCCCTTTAAGCATAAAATGTAGAACATTTTTTGTTTGTTTTTTAAATTCTGGCTCATTTAGGGTGAAAAGACTTCATGATTCAAATAAAGTAAACCTAAAACTGAGTTTTAAAAAAATAATATCATAATAATAACTAATTTTTAATTAGTTCAGCATTGTATTTGTGGCTTACCATATTACTGCAAGTTAAGTTTATAAAGTGATGCATCTTCATTTTTTTTTTTATTAAAATCGTTTTAAACATTTCAGTCAGAACACAACAGGCTTGTAGTTTTAAAAGCCGCCTCCAAAATAATCTAACCAGCCAAAAAGTGATCAGTTAATATGAGAGACTCATCTCAGCCAAACGTTTCAGTGCACCACTCCGTGTTGTCATACCATTAGCACCTTACTAGACTGTTGTTGCATCGCGTGGTCCTCAGAGGAACGTCCCACCGCTGGCCTCATTTGAATTAAGCTGGCCACAGGAAGTGCACGCATGCCAGGATGAAGAGGATGGGCCTGCCAACTGTGGATGAAGGCCACAATAACAGCTATGGTCAGAGCACACAGTGTGTTGGCAGCCAAGTTTATCGTTGATCCGGTTACCTAGAAAACAGGAAAGAAATAATATTATGCCAATGATGCTAAAAATTAGCATCGATTTATGATTTTAGGGTTGTTTAATGAATCTAAAGCCAAATCTTTTGGAGGATAGATAGATAGATAGATAGATAGATAGATAGATAGATAGATAGATAGATAGATAGATAGATAGATAGATAGATAGATAGATAGATAGATAGATAGATAGATAGATAGATAGATAGATAGATAGATAGATAGAGAAATGAGTGAATGAGAAATAATATTTTATCTGTAAGGTAAATTTCTGTTTTCCAGAAACAGACAAAAGTATGTACAACTTTAGAGAAATAGGAATGATCACCTATAGTACAGACAAGGTTCTTGATTTGACGTTTTTCATTTCTACTTAATGAACATTTGAGCCATAAGTGAGATCTGAGCCACAACCCTCCATTTTTTCTTGTAATCAAATGGCGAAACTTCCATAAAAAACTTAACCAAAGCTTCGTCTTTACTGTCATTGGACAGCAATTACTGGCTTTTAAAAAGAAAATGCCAGATTGGAACTCATGTACCTTTTCAAATCTGTTACTCCCTGTATTTCAATACTTCATGCTTGAAAATAATTTAATTAGCTTTATTTTTCTCTTACAACCACTATTTACCTAAACCTTGAAAATCACAGATTTGTGTTTCATATAATCTCATCAGAGCAGTTTTGGATCATTAAAAACATCAACATAAAAACAACTTTACCCAACTTCATTGTTTGAAACAACACACGCTGGCTCACCAGTTGTACGGTAGAGAAATGGCTCCATCAAGTGGCACGATATTGTAAACATTAGACATCCACTTTAATTCGGATTTCTAAACTCAAGTATCTTAAATTAACCGTGTCACACAATCAAGCTAAATATATATTCCAAATGAAAAGACTCTTGAGAAACTACAGATTGTAAAATGCCCAGTGAAGACCTTTGCAGGCAGTGTAGGCTACAGACTTTTTCGTCCATATATTTTGGACAATTATTAATTTTTTTGCCAAAAAGCCCCAGATGCGATTGAACGGCGGTCTTTGCGTTTTAATTCAAGGGGTTTTAAGTATTGCTGTTTAGGAACCGCAGCTATTTCTGTACACAGTCCTCAATTTTAACAGGCTTAAAAATAATTGGACTATTGACTGACAAGCATGCAGCTCAAACCTGTTTCCTGATTTCATCACAGATTAAGCAGATAAAAGATCTGGAGTTGATTCCTGTTGAACCTGTATTTTGTATCTTTTCACTGGAGCTCTTAATAGAGTGTGCAAAGAGATGTTGGTGATAGTGAAAAAGACAATAATTAGATTGAAAAAACAAAGTAAACCAACCCGATTGGCAGCCGAAACTTTAGGAGGGGCCAAATCAACAATCATACAACAAAGGAATGCACTGGCCAGCTCAACAACATCAAAAGGCCTGAAAGACCAAAGAAGACAACAAAATTGCACAACTTCCCAACATCCAAGTTAAGAACAAGAAGGTAGGAGTGCCACTGTCAAGGTCTCTACATTTACATTAATACCTTTATTAATGTAAATACCAAGAGTTAACAACATGATGCAAGCCACTGGTTACACTGAAGAACAAGAAAGCCTCAAAGTGAAAACAAACAAACAAAAAACATAAATATATTGTACAACATCCATCCATCTGTTTTCTTCCACTTGTCTAATTCAGGGTTGCCCATTCCAGCTACCATAGGACAAGAGGTGTGGTACACTCTGGACAGGTTACCAAGTTAATCTGTGCAAAGTTTTTTTGTTTTGTGCAGACAGACAACTATTCACACCGATGGGCAGTTTTGAGTCACCATATATGAAGGAGAATGCACTACATTTCAGTAAAATAGAAACATGAATATATAGCATGACAGGTTTGCAAATGCTTGCTACTTAGACCTATACACTCTGTATCAGCAGATGATTATTACCCACAGCGAAATCCAAGCTACAGCAACCAAAGGCCGTTTCTTGTTTTACTTCCAGTGTCATAATCTACTCAAGAGTGCTTATTGCATTCCTGGAGAATTGCTTGAGGATGAAAGGGCTTACATCAGAGACCACAGGCCAGTCGAACAGTTCTGAAGGAACATTTCAGCTTTAGCAGGATATTCAGTAACAACAACAATAACAGCCGGAAGATTCCTCAAGTTGTAACTTACATACACGTCTACTACCGAGCTCTGCCCTTATCTTTTTTTTATATGAGCGCTAAATCATCAGTGTAAGTTACACTGTAACTTATCCTTAAGTTTGTGCTAACGATTAAGCTCCTTTTATGTTGTTACTCGAAATGCAGCGATAAAATGCCACAGTGAAGACCATGAAAAAACAGCAAACACATTCAGTAAACTGAGAAGCAAGAGAAATGGTAGGTTTTTCTGTTGTTTTTGGCTTAACTATACACTGCGTGACTTTCACGCGTTGCAACCATGTACAAAAAATATATATATA